CGGGATTGGGCGGGATTAGAGGAACTGCCCGGCGAGATTGTCGTCGGTGTCGTTCCCGCCTCTGGAGCCAGCCAGCCCGGGACTCGTTTGACGCCCAATTAAACCTGAGGACCAGATAAGCCAGCTTGCAAGTGGCCCGATCACCCCACCCGAGGCGCCCGTCCAGGTGTACGGCTGGGTCAGGTGTCTCGATCGATCGACCTTCACATGAACTTCTTGAAGAACGGGAACCGTTATATCAGATTACGCCACTAATGCTCGCTTGCGTGTCTCTGCTGGGCGATCGGCAGTGCTGCCTGATTTTGAGATCTAATGTCAGTTAAAATGGGGACAAACTGGTGATGGGTTGATAATAGTTATAAGACGTTTTGATTCATTGTATATCCCGAGTTTTATTCCCCTTTCTCTTATCGATGCCTCCATTTCATTTCTGGGAGGCGATGGAAGTTTACCTAATGTAAACCAAAAGTGGAACAAACTGGAGACACGACTAAATTAAGCTAAACAGAACCAAAGGAAATAGCCTAATTGCGGCGCCTTCGACAAGTGTCCTTAGCAAGGTCTCTCCCGAGGTGGGACTCTTCAGCCGTCGGGTAGGCTAAAACGGGTCCCTGTCAGGGCACGAAGAGGCAGGGTAGGCCTGTGGGAAGGAAGAGGCTCGGGCCAAAGGGGCAAGGGGACAAGGGGGTTAACCTGGTGAAAGGGCCTGGAAATTCTAAGGGGTCTCTATTAGAATTCAAGCTGGAACGCGGAGGAGCAGTAGTAGTGTCAGCTCGGGTTATCAGTTTATCTGGCGACACTGCCTGACGATCTGTTGATGGTGTTGCCTGTTTTTATGCTGCTTTCGCTGTTCTCCCTTCTCTTTCCCCATTCCTTTCCCTCTCTCTTTCTTCAACCTACCTTCACCATTCCTTTTTGGTCTCCTTTGTTCTCTGGCTACTATTTATCCCTTTCTTTTCTTACTTCTTGTCATCTTCTTTCTTTCTCCGGTTATTCTTCCCTGCAAAAATGCAAGGAATATAGGATAATCGTCGTCAGTTAACAAGTAGAAGAAGAAGAAGAAGAAGAAGAAATAGAAGACGAAGAAGAAGAAGAAAAAAAGAAAAGAAATAGAAGACGAAGAAGAAGAAGAAAAAAAAGAAAAGAAATAGAAGACGAAGAAGAAGAAGAAAAAAAAGAAAAGAAATAGAAGACGGAGAAGAAGAAGAAGAAGAATGAGGCAGAGGAGAAGGAAGAGAAGGAGCAATCCCATACTCCCCCATCCCCAGGAGTGGCAGCTGTCCCACGAACTTGGAGATAAATCCTACCCCTTCTTCCTTCCCTTAACCCCCCCCCCCCTTCTCCCCCAGTAGTGCCGTAATCACCACGCAATGCTGGCGATGGCTCCCCGCTGCATCTGTCCTCCGTGGCTCGTTTGTCATGAAACTGAGACAAGCGGTGAACATCTGTCCCGGTCGGTGGCCTCATACCAGCTCTCCTCCCTAAGTATGTGAGGGTTTTTTTCTACATCCTTTCCACTCTCTCCTCTTTTCTCTTTCCTTTGCTTTCGTTGCGTGTATTGCTTTACTCTTTTTTTACCATTCTTGTCCCAGTCTCCCTTATTTTTTTTCCCATTCCTTTTGTTTAATGTCTGTAGACGAGTGGTAGTGAATGACTTGCTGAAAGGAACTTCAAGTAGATAACGACGGAGGAGTCGAATTCGCCGACCACTTCATCGTCTCTAAGAAAGGAGGGAGAAGTAGAGGGAAAGAAGGAGGAGGAGGAGAAGTAGAGGGAAAGAAGAAGAAGGAGGAGGAGAAAATGAAGAAGAAGAATTAGGAGCAGGAGGAAGAGGAGGGGCAAAAAGAGAAGAAAAACAGTTAAAAACGAGTAAATGCGAACAGTACCGTCAACTTGCAAAAATTAAGAGAGCAATAGCGAAAGAGACTACAAAGAGAAAGGAAAATTAAGAAATAATAATAAGAGACAATAGACAGTAGAAAACAAAATAGAAAACCTTAAAGAAATCGAAGCTGTCAGAAAGTGGATCAGGACAACTGCAGTTGCGTGCGCGTCTGCCCGGGGGAAAGCATGGACGTTCAGTTACGCTTCTTGGATTTCGCTTCGTCTTCGCGGTGGATGCGAAAAGCGCCGCTCGAGTGGACGGGAGATGATGGCGGGGGAAGAACAGAAGCCGGAAGAGGAAGATTTATATATATATATATATATATATATATATATATATATATATATATATATATATATATATATATATATATATATGTTTGCGTGTGTGTGTGTGTGTGTGTGTGTGTGTGTGTGTGTGTGTGTGTGTGTGTGTGTGTGTGTGTGTGTGTGTGTGTGTGTGTGTGTGTGTGCTGTAGTGTGTGTGTGTGCGTGCGTGATAGACAAATGACGAATACCGATGGTAATTATTGCGACATGATTTGAATCACGGCAAGACACAAACCGCAAGAAAGAAAGCTTAGCTAAGGACACAGACACCGGCGACGATAATGATAATTACCACCCACAGTAATAAAAAAAAATGAATATCACCTAACGACCTTAGAGAACACGACGGCTAAGGGAAGAGAAGGGGGAAGTGGGGGGGGGGAGTCCATACTTCCGGCTCAGGTGAGTCCCGTTTGCGTCACGTGGGCGGATATTTGGTAAACACGAGTTCGTCTAAAAGGGCAAATAAGACTTTTTTTTTTCTTTTTTCTCATTTTAACGCTTCGATGATTCTGGTGTTTGGTGCATTTGGTGTTTTCAGCATGGTATATCGAACCAAGACGACGGAACTCTACTGTGTTCATTATTATTGCACTTATAATTACGACCTAATCGGCTCTCTGATTGACGTTCTGTTTGCTTATTTTCCCATGTATTCTCTTCATGCTTTCGTTATTTTGTTGCTAACTTTCTAACTTTCATCTGTGTTTATTTTCTCGATGTATTTTCCCTGGTCACTCGCACTCCCTCGCGTCCCCCGCAGCGGACACCAAGACCAGGCGTTCCTAAGGGCTCTAATCATTCCAGCCAATCCTCGCGGGGCTCTGTGATCGAAGCGGAGGGAACAGGAGAGTCACGCCCGATCGAAAGGGAATGGGGGGGGGGGTGGCTAGAGAGAGGGGGGATGTCTTGGCTTTAGAAAGAGAGAGAGGGGGAAGAGGTCGGAAGACGAAGGGAAAAAAATATCAGGGACATACGCACTCGCACACACAAACACACACACACACACACACACACACACACACACACACACACACACACACACACACACACACACACACACACACACACACATACACACATACACACATACACACATACACACATACACACATACACACATACACACATACACACATACACACATACACACACACATACACACACACATAACACATACACACACACAGAAAGAGAGAGCGAGGGGGAGGGGTCAGTGACAAAAAATCGCCATGGCCACAGAACCCGTGATCAACCGAAATAAGGCAGTGTCGTCGATAGTGAGTGTACGATATTGCCAGAGAGAACGTTCATTACTTGCCTGGGGGAAGGCATGACCACCGATGAAAGATAGAGAGGGAAAGAGGCTGACGGAGAGACAGGCAAGCAGATAGACACAGACAGACAGGCAGACAGACAAACAGGCAAGCAGATAGACAGACAGAGGAAAGGATGAGGAAACTGAAGCTGAGGTTGCTGAATCGATCTGAAAATGATAACCGGCTTGGGACGGTCATTAACGCTGATCGACAGCGAGGACATGTCGCCAGTCGCCTCGCCAGGTGAACGTCTTGCGCGGAAGGAGCGATGGTTGACGCCAGGTATGATAATTGTTCCTCCCGAGACGACGGCGTGACGGCGCAGGGACGATGATCTCGTAGGGTATTACCGCCGGTCCTCGTTGCATGTCGCGAATGACACTTGCATTTCTGGTTGACTGTCATTATTTTTTTCTAATAGCTTTTTTCCCTTCTGTGCTAGATGAATATTATTATGCATAGTCCTTCGGGTGTTTCCTTTTTTGGGCGTGGCTTTAACGCCTTTTTTCAGCTGTGAGATAATGCGTTTAGGAAGTGTCTTATGCAATACCTGCGGCATCTGTAAGGATGTTGCACAACTAATTGCGATGCAGATTTTTTTAGTGATTGTTTACGCGCTGGCGTCCCATACTCACGCATGCGAAGGTCGTATTAGGTAGTTTTTTTCTGGTTGATGAAATGTTCAAGAGGAGCTTTTACTACTGTTTTTGCACTTACTTTTTTTCCATAATGTGTTTCACAATATCGTTTTTATTCTTATCTTTGTTGCTTTATTCTTTTTTTCATTTTCATCTTGAGTTACTATTCTGTTTTTCAGTCTTTCCTTTCCACAGTTCTGCTTTTACGGGAAGCTAATCCAAACACAGGTCGTCAAGTTAAAATGTGAATTAGAATAAAAGAAGAATCAGAAAGAAACTAAAAAAAAAGTGCAGAGCAAAGGAGAACGAGGTAGAGGCAGGCGAGGAAGCGGGTAGGCCGAAAAGGTAGTCCCGGCTTGCAGGCCTATGTGTATAGTCGTCACGTAGCTGGTGTGGTGAGCGATTCATTAAATACCAACAAAGCCGAGCTTTTAGCGGAGAATGTTGCGGTTCTGCGGTCTGCTTGGGGGAGGGGGGGGCGTACAGCAGAGAGGGAGGTGTATTTTGGTATTGGGTGTAACGGGGTATGCGGAGAGCGGGTGGTGAGTGTCGTGTGATGAAGGAGCTTACCCGTAGGGCATTAGTGTGTTTAGTGCGGTCGGGAGACAATTAGGAGTTATGTGGTGGAAGGAATAAGAGCTCTGTAAATAGGAACAAGTCGGAGGGAAGCATGCTGAGGGAGAGTGCGGTCGCCAATGAGTAGGAATAAACAAATGTGCGAGAAAGCAGGGTCGTTCCTCGTCGGATAGCGATGAGTGACAGCGACGAGTGATCCCGATGATGCCGCGTAGTGCGTGTGGCTCTAACCATTTTCTCTTCGTCCTTGCAG